AGGCTTGTGACACCCTTATTAAGAAAAACACGGTGTGGGCTCCCTCCTGACTTGACTAATGATCATTGTTGGCACGCTGGCAACGGTGCTCCTGGCTTCTGAATCACAGCTCTGCCTATTTTCGGTGTCCTTGAAAAATCCCTTGTGTGCTCTCTCTGACTTACTGAGTGTGCTCCAGAAGTTCCTCAGTGAGAAAGTCTAATAATGGACACGTTTTGCTGAACGACAACTTGTCCGCCGTCTCCAACGCGTCACCTGCCACGCACAGCCACAAGGGCACGAGGGATATGTTCCAAGGTGCAGTTCTGGTGGCAAGGTGGTGAGATTCAAACATTTTGGTCAGGGTCCTGCATGGACAGAGTGTTCCCCTTAGAAGACGCCCGAAAATCCAACCTACAGGTTCTCTGTGGCAGACACACAGGGTTTCCTCAACAGAGAAATCAACGCAGAAGGCATTGCCCAGGTTGTTCGAGGATCAGGTTGGGTGATTGCCTAGCCATTCATCAGAGTTTTTCGCAGGGCGGCTGCACATCTTGAACAACAGCATGCATGCACACACACATGATCAGCTCTCGGGCATGCACGATGTATCGTACATAGGTGGTTTAGCAAAGGAGCCATAGGAGTTGTATTTTCCTTAGGGCTGCTCTCACACCAAGAGTTTTCTTTCCATTCTGGCACCCCTGATATTTCCTTCCTAACACCCTCCTCCTGGCAATCCCCGAATCCTCATCCTTCCTTGCTTCCTTCTCTCATTTTTAGCCCCCAACCAGCCCGGTGAATTTCTTCGCATTTGGGGGCTGCATTTATGCAGTGGAAAGATTCCCCGCCCCCCCAATGTCTGGTTCATGAATTTCATCCTAATTTGGGACTCCATTTTAGCATATGACAGCCCACACACACACACACGTACACTATGCATCACTTTACCGTATGAATTGCTTCCCATTTTGAGGGTGCGGCTTTGATGGAAAGCTTCTCTCTCCAGATGAATCTCTTCCCACTGGAGGCTCCATTTCTGTGGTGGAAAACTCCCCCTGACTGGTGCCTGATTTATGAATCAATATATCTAATTTGCAACATGGGCAAATCTGTGGATACTTAAATCCAGAAACTGAAGCCAGGATCAAATAAGACAGATCTTTCTACCTGCTATAATTCTGAAAAATGGCCCAGGATTTTTTTTAAAAAACTAAAAATAAATTATTTGGGATTAACCTCGCAGATGATAGAAGGAGCCCTGTAGCTTTAAGACATAGATGCCAAGAGTGGCCATTGCTAGGCAACCACAGCATCATCGCCAGCCTTCAAACTTTGGTTTCTGTTTTTGGCCTTTGAAGGTGGACTCATCACAGCCGGGCCCACCAGCAACGACTGAGCAACTGCTAGCACAAAGCTTGCATGACAGATTCAGACCCGCCTGCTTGCTACTATTCAGTAGCAGCCATCCTACGAAAGTCAGTGTAGTGGTTAGAGTTTCTGATCAGGATCTGGGAAACTCCGGTTTGAATCCCCACTATGCCATGGAAGCTAGCTGGGTGACCTTGGTCCAGTCACACACTCTCAGCCTAACCTAGCTCTCAGGGTTTTGTGAGGATTAAATGGCGGAAAGGAGGACTATTGTAAGTCACTTTGGATCCCCACTGGGGAAAGTGGGATACAAATGAAATAATAGATGGCTGAGTATGGGAGGCAGATAAAATGTTGGCTGGTTGAGGGCTAGAAATGAGAGAAGGAAGCAGGGAAGGGTGAGGATTTGGGGATTGCCAGGGGGAGGGAAAGA